CCCGTTTGATACCTTGTAGCTCAGTTAGGCAGAGCGTTGCCTGTATAATAGCCTTTTTTGTTGACATTGTTTTGAAGATCACAAAGACCACCATGGTTTTCAAAAGTGGGTCCAATTAAAAACGGAAATGTCAACTTTTCTGCAGAGTATTCTAATCCCTGCATAAAGAATGGGAAGAGATTTATTCTTTGATGTACGCCTTCCTGAATGGTCATTCGTCACATCAGTACCCCTATACAAATCAATTACTCCGATTTGCACATAAAAATTCACGTTTCCTTTCATGACACCAGTGCAAAATCTGATTATTGTAGCTGAATATATGAGAATGTACCATGTTGCAGGTTCATTTGTAAACTGTGTGCTCAAACCCGTATAATCCATGACATGTGCAAACTAGCAGAATAATACTTTTTTGCGAACCACAAAGGGTATTCTCCCTGGGAGAAGAAGGTTTTCAGATACTCTTTGTAAAAGTAACTTTCGGGCTTTGCGTTTTACTGTACAAAGAATAAAGACAGTTTTTCGGCGTTAGTTGATAGAGCATGATTACCCATACCAGCACAGTACATGAATCTCACATAATTTTAAAAAATACTATATCTTAGATTCTTTCTAAATTTTACAGATGTGTTCCCTACTATCTGGCGCAGATCATCGGTCACGCAAACTGTAAACGTCAACTGTCCCACTATTAGGTGATGAAAGTCCCCACACAATAATCGATGGTAAAAAATATGCCAAACCTAGAGCCCTTTGCACACTATCTAAGTGGCAGGTTTATGTAACCGACATACACTGAAAACAATTATAAAAACCAGGATTACTGTTTGGCTGCAGACGAGGACAAAAATTGTGACAATGGGACAAAGTGTTTAGCAGTCTGAACTTGTAGACCTGTTTCCCAGCCAGTTTAAAGGACTCTGCTGGATGCGAATGATTCATGAAGCAGGTAAATGCAGTGAAGCGAAAAGAGCTTTCCAGACTCCTTGGCTGAATTGATTCACAGGAAGCGCGATCAAGGACCGCAAAAACCCATTGCAAGTAAACGTGACTTACTTAACCATGCGAGTGATTGTACACACTCTAAAAGTTTGTTTACGACGCAAGCAGCATTAAGCGAAAGGTCGTTTGAACAGAAATGTGAGGCAGCCAAAATTCGGTCAGCTTTTTGTTGAAGAGAACGCTGGATACATCTATTTCGGTATTTACATTCTAGGTTTATATTTAAAAAAGTAAAAGCAATCCTATATATGTGTGGTTTACTAAAGGTTCATGAACTTGACCTTCGAATGCGGCAGATATAAGGCATCCGCAATTTGTCCGCAATTTACAATTGCAAAGGGACTCACAGAAAGGATAATGCCGTTTCTGCAAACAGTCGTGATAATTAACCTAGGTAGCACGTTAACATTCATGGTCTCCGTGACGATTGCAAATATTATGGGCAAAAAGTAATTGTTCGTAGTTATTTACTAGTTTTCCCTTCACGGAAATACTACAATTATTTATGTGATCAGATTGGTTTGCACGATTTTCAATCAGCACGCCCGTCGGTGAACTAAAGACATTGCTTTGTCGCTGTACGTTAAATCTCGACTTTAGAGTTCGTGGCCAATTTAACCGGTGGTATAGCGATTAAAGCAATCCCTCCAACTCTACTAGCTGCTGTCTTCCTGAGTCAACTGGAAGGCGCCTGTTTCGCACGCTGTGCATAATAGAACGCCTGTTAAAAACATTAATAGGAGTGTATTTTGTAAGGAAAGGTCGATAGGGCAATAAACATATTTCTACAGTCTTGTCCCGGTAAGTCCCAAACTAAGTTCAGCCCGCTGTCTCATCAATCAAGCTGGGGGAAGACGTCCCACATATCAGCTGCGAAACAGACTGGCATTTAGACACAGCACCGTGAGTTGGTGGACTTACAAAAAATCTATCATTAAATATATGGAAGAGCGCTTCCCGAAATCGGCATTCTGACGGCTGAGGAGAGGAAGATATTTCCCACACTGTCACTTTGAGGGGATCCGACGAGAAAATGTCTACCAATTCGCTTGGATGCTGCCATCGCAAGTACGTACTCACCTGCTAGGAAAAAACCAAACTGCTAAGGCACTTCATTTATGCGATTTGTAAGTGAGGCTAGACCACTCTTTCAGGCTCCTTCAATACACACATACGAGTTCACTTTCTTCTTTTGGGCGGGTTATATGCAGTTGCACCTCTTCAGGTTGACGAGAAAACACTATCCTGACTGGCTAACTCAAGGCAGGGAATCGTCTACCTCTAGTATACTTATGGCTCAGTTACTTAAAAAGGGTCACCAGGTAAAGGTTAACCAAGCATTTCCGGTCATACACAAAGCACAAGCGAGACAGTTCAAGCTTCTGCGCCAGCGGATACTTGCGACGACGGAGACATTGGTCATACGGTTATTCAACCCACACTTGTGCTTGGATAAAAAGGTTTGTGCCACCATTTAACCTCCCTCGGCCCAATATTACCCCTTAACGTTGGTTCGCACCTTCTGCAAGGTCGCACTGCAACGAAAACGCACACGCAGGGCTCATTCTTAGACATCTCCATCTCCAACCCACTCCCACTACCTTGACTGAACTAAGCTATAACCACCCAAAATCTGAACCGCCTAAATTCCACCCCCTCTACCTTCTGTTTTTTGAAAATTTTCGTTCGTTGAGCCTGCCTTATTTCATTCATATGTTGCACAGTACGTCAGCCAATCGATGCTCCAGAGCGTTTTCTTAAAATGCAACACGCAGTTTTTGGAAAGAGAGTGGCTGGCTTTTATTTTTTTCAAAATTTCAATTATCCTGCTGTCCAGGTATCAGCCTACTCTACCATATCTACTGTTCAGTGCCCGCTTAAACTTTTTTTACTCTTTACTCAATTATAATACAGTCCAGGCTTGAAAATAAATAATTGAAAGCGCACTTTTTGCCGAAATTCATCACAAGACGAAACGCATTTTTGAACTACGAGAGCCCTTCACCGGTGTCTCGCTTCTAATTAATTCATTGGATGCATGCTCTAATATTAGTGACTTAAGCTAACCTATGCCATTATCTAATTTGTGTGGTCCTCTTTATAGTAATATACTGAAGGTCTAAAGTGGCAAAAACCAGCTTTTTAAGGAGTTTCTAAAAAAATCAAGGTTTTGAACACGTTCTTCTAAAAAGATAGACCTGTAGGGTTACCTATAGATAACAATAAAGCTTACAGCTTGCAGTATCTTTGCTTTAAAACAAAGAACGATATTCAAGGCTTATTTTACGCTTTGTTATTAACTAAACTCTAATTATTTATAAGACATGGATGATAACACAAGCGGAAGTGCAATAATCAGAGGCCCCAGTAATCGGCGAATGTTTGATTCATTAATGATCAATGGCACAAAAGTATTACTAAAGCCGTACTACTTTTAACTACGTAACAAAGCTAGCTTTAAAATCGGCAAGAGTAAAATTGGTTATTATCAGATTTATGGAAAATAAATTTCGTTTATGTCAATTTATTTGACAGTTAAAAACTCTTTCCCTTGCATCCATTTTCGAGATAGTTTATTTCTTCTTACCAGTTTCACTTTCTGCAAAACTGGTGTACTTACTTTTGCGCTGATTATTTTATCTTCAAGGATCAAATCGTTAAATGCATAAAAGAATTACGCGAGGAAATACCTACTCAAACATTCAAAATAGTATCAATGGTTCAAAATTCTCTGCCTACTGGGGTCGCTTATCCAGATATAAAATGCAAACTCTGTAATAGTGATTCACCAATTCCACTTGTTGTGTACTTTCTTGTTAAATTTCACTTTGGATTAGCAAAAGAGACCTAACCGACGATGTTGACTGTTTTTCTTAGATCACAGCACTTACATTGCTACAAATACGGTTTTTTTCTAACAAGTGCTTTCCACGCATGTTCAAGTTACCGAATTGCCAACATGTTTTCGGAGACAGACTTTAATCTAGTAACGCTTATTACGACATACTGCCAAAGCTCGCACTACTTATCTAGTTTTCAAGTTTAAAAATGAACCTTCCTTCCATGTTATGGACTCTAGCTTTATTTCCTCCGTTACCTAACTCTCTATCTTGGGACACCTAAGGATGAAAAACAAGATTTTCAAAAGACGTTAAAGCACCCTATTAATAGAAGGTTCCCTGCTAAATCCTGACCCTTCACCTTGCCTCATGGCAGCCTTGCTGAGAGAAACTCTGACGAAGCAGCGGCACGAAAGCTGTCATATATCTCTGATTCCCACTTCGTTACCGCGGCAACTGCAATGAAACATAATCAAACAACCCAAGGAGATAAGATATATATATATAAATAACTGTCTTGCCCGTAATTTTACAATTATCGCAGGTATGCCTTATTTTCCTGCTCTCTCTGTTATAGAGTCCGACCAATCCCAGTCAAGTCCATCTGGTCTACGCAGGCGTCCGCTGGCCAATAAGATGACCAGTCTTCACGGGCGCAGGTAACAGAGCTACAC